CTGACCTTGATTAGAAATCAATCTTTAATGACTCAGAAAAATACACAGTTTTATTGTCTGAAAACGATTGGAAAATATATTTCTATATTTTATTTTAGTTTAGAAAACAGAGCGAGCCAAACCTGTTTTTGGCTCAGGAGTCACATTTAGGACAAAAAGATGAGTTTAGGTTTGGGTTAGGTATGAACCCACAAAGATAGTCAGACAAGTTTATGTGTTGGTCTTTGTTTGGAGCGGGGCGGCGGTCTAATAACTTGAATGTATGTAGGAAATGATGTTTAACAATAGAATTTAAACAGCTAATCATAAGATAACCATTTCTTCATCTTACTTTTTAGAACAAAAGATTTAAAAACGAAACTGTAAACTAAATACAGCTATGAAAATACATTTTCTGAAATGTCTTGATGATAAACCAAAAAAACGTGCAGTTGAACTTTCTGAGAATCATTGAGTAGAACTGAATATTGGCATTATTAGAATGTTTTATGTCATAAATTAGATGGATCTGAGCCCCTAAATCATTCATTATGTATTCCTTCATTTTGTTCTTAAAAACAGGCAAACATAAGTGGAAATATATTTGATCTGGAGGGTTAAAGGTGATTCATTTGACAAACCAGTAAGATGCTTTCTGTTTAGGATAACAGCAGGATTTAACTGATAAACAGAATATGCTTGGGCATTAAACTATGTACCTGAGAACTCCTTTTTGCACGGAATATTTAATTTTTTACTCTTTTCTGTATCTAATTTATTTTTAGGTAGCAGCCACATTTATACTGTGAGCCAACAGCCCTTAGAAAACAGACCACAGTGTTACACAATTCAACAAATGCTGGAATGAAAGTAATGATCCATAACATTGTAATTAGACTGCACTATTTTCTATAGGTTCGCTACAAAAAATATACGAACAAACCAAAACTCAAAAAATGTATATTGCATTTAGACTATAATAATTTATTTTAGGGCAGTTTAAAATGTCTCTATATATCATAATGCTAATGTGTGTATATATCTATATATATATAGATATATACATATATATTGTATATATAATACATCCAGATGAGTTTGTAAAGCTGGAAATTCTTTTAAGCAGAGGAAACTCAGCAGGTCTGTTTATGCATGTATGATAGACTCCCGCCCCACTCCAAACAAAGACAAACACATAAACTTGTCTGACTATCTTTGTGGCTCCATGCCTAAACTCAATTCACACTTTTTGTCCTAAATGTGACTCCTGAGCCAAAAACAGCAATTTCCCTCTTGGGGTTCAGGTAGCAGTCGGTTCACAGAACAGGCAGTTTTTTCCAGAAAATGTGCCACACAGTGTATTAAAGGGTTTGTATTTATATCCTTATAAAGACTTTGCAATGATTTAAATTTATTGTAGTTATTACATGTATTACATGTAATAGACATTCCTGTGGCTTCCCCCAATCCACAGTAACACAGCCAGTCAGTCTGATTAAGCAATAAGGCAGGGTGGGGATTTGTTCTGTCTTTGATATATTAGATCAGAATAGATTTGGAGGTAAACATTAAGCCAGAATAACTTATGGTTTCTGCAAAGATTAGGTTTGAAATGCAGCTTTGAGATTTTTGCAGCTTTGCTGTTTTTAAACATTTTAATCATATATTAAAATTGTTTTTCACCTTTTTAACACCATTTACACTCCGCAGAGGAAAACACAGTAGTACTGAAAGTACATATTGTCTTAAAATAGAACTAATTTCATGTTATTTTAATTATTATTTTGTATAGAGCTGTAGAAAAACAAACAAATTCTATTTTTTTATTTAGCTTTTTCCCCCCATATAATCCTGGTCATAGGATGTTAGGGGGCCTCACCCCCAGGGGCGGTTCTAGGACCAGAGGTTTAGGGGCGCTGAGCACCCAGAGAGCTGTCTGCCCAGACAAGATTAATCTCACTGTTTTCCACATATATTTTAGAAACTTGTTCAGTGCGTTTTGCTAATGACTGCCTCCATCATTCACTGATGCATGTTACCTGAGAAAAAAGATATCCCACTGAATGAAATGCTCTTTCTTAGCCAGTTTAACAGCTGCTGCTATTCTCTCTGTTTTCTCACCTGGTTTTACTGACCTTTCACTTTGCTCCTCTGCTCCTCCTTTACACCTCTCCCTCTTTAGAGGATAAATTTAGATAACTAGAAGCTTAAAAAAATTATAATGATTTAGTAATGATTCAGTAAATTAAAATATTGATATTGAGTTGTAGTTTTTAAGATCATGAAACAAAGCAATGTCAGACACATTAGAGCACCTCGCTGGTGAACATTTCACCAACACACCATCAATAGGTGCAGAAATCTGACTGAACATGTCAGAAACACCTGAATGCAGCGTTTTCCTCAAAGTGTTGCTCAACATTTTAGTTAAGGAGCTCCATCAGGCTGGTTAGCTTGTTTTTCTGTCTGTTTACCATTTTTTCTGATGAACCAGAACATAATTGAACATCATTTTAATTTATTTATTTTTTAGTAAAAGGCGCATACAGTATTAAAAACAACTCATATATTAGGGGTGCTTTGATTCAAATTAGGGCTGCTTCTGCCCCCCCAAAAACGCCTATGCTCCCCCCGGAGCAGCCCATCACGCCACAGAGCCGGAGCTCCCTGTTGCTTTAAGCAGTGCGTCCTGCCGTCCGACAGGAGGCGTGTCTCCCCTGCGGCCGGAGCTCAGCGCTGCCAGCTGCAAGCGCGATCCGACTCCACCGCTGAAACAAACCAACTTCTGTGTGCTGCCTTGGTGACTTCCCTTTCTAAGGTAAGCCGTTCTCCATCCGCTTCCTCTGCGTAAACATGAAGTCGCTGTCTGGCTTTTCTTCCGCGCGTCTCATCAGTTAAGGAAACGGTTGTTATTGTGCCATTAAGTGGAAGCTGCTGCTCGGTGCTCTCCAGCTGTGAAGTCGCTCTGTTCCTGCAGTGGAGTTGCTGAAACTTCTCCGGTATGTGGATCCTTCAAGCTTCCTGGACTCTTCCTCCTCCTCAGCCTGCTGCTGCTCGGGAAGCTCAGAAAACACAGTTTCCAATTAGTTTTTCCAAGCTTGCGCAGATGGCATACAATCCAGAACAAACCAGCTACTCGCGTTTAATTAGCTCTAATTATGTGAACAGGGCTTTATTTCGCACAAAAATGCTTCTCACACTGTGGCAGCATATTAATCATAATGGTTAAATATTATTTTAGCTGCAGAGAGGCTTTAACTATCCTGCAAATCCGTCATAAAGTGCTGCTCTACTCCCCAAATCTGCGTCTCCATCGTGTGGCTCAAACTGCTTAGAATGACTGACATCAGACAGTTGATGTTTTCACTTTAGGATTTAATGAACCAAATGTTGACCGCTGATCATTTCCCAGTGTCCCGAAAAATAAAGGCGACGTTTTCGCGGAGGACAACAGAAAGTTCCTCCGGGTTGTGTAGCTTCATGCTGGGTGTCAGTCACCTGCTCATAACGCTCACTGCACTGGCGGCCTGTGCTGAACATTTATTTGGTTTTTAAAATGCTCTCTGAGCTGGGTGTGGGTCATGCACAGATACCTGCAGGTGTGGAGAATAATTGACTCTATAATGAGCATAAGGTAATTAAGAATATAAATAGATAGAGGGAGCAGACAGAACAAAGAGGATACAGACGGAAAGTGTTGAATTTATTATGATTCGCTGACCGTGGTGCTGAAACACGCAACCTGGCGAACAATGCACTGTCCGTGGTCCTGAAAACTAACTGAAGCCTTTGTGTTGCTCGGAATGTTCTGTATCATTAGGTGGGTTTGTATAAAAGCACAGGACCTGATATAAAAATTACAACCGGATAACAAATTGCTTTTAACATAAATAAGCTTATTTAAAAAAAAATATATATAGGAAAAATCTTGGATTCTATTCGGCTTCATCTCATTTTAGTTTCACAATTTCATAATAAAAAGATCAGTAAATAAATATAATTCAAAAACCATACTTTACTTTTACCTCTACACACCATTAACAAAAATGTATACACTTTGGAAAAATATAGAGATTAATGAGATTCTCGTGCCTGAAGGCCAAACCTCTGCTGAAACATTAAAGCTTCTGTTTCAGCTTAGATTGTTTTCAAATGAAATGATTTTATCTCTGTGATTTTGTTTTTCCATCCTGCACAACTGAACTCGTAAATTGTCTGTGACGGCCTGAAAATATCAGATTGGAAGGAATGTTTTCTGCTTCACCTTGGACTCAGAAAAAGAAGCTGAAAAATAATGTAGAGGGAAAAAAAGGGATTATGATTGTGAGCGGCCAGGGCCGACCTGAGTCCGCACAGGAGTCTACGCCTGAGTGACTCCGATCATTTCATTTTCATCCATTCATTGCTTTTATAAGGCTGCTGCGCTCCGCTGCCAGCCGGGGGGGAATCTGCGAGCCTGGGTGGCCGGGGACACGGGATCAGTGAACAGGGAGAGCAGGGGGGGCAGGAGTAAAGGGCAGGTAGTTTTCGATGCAAAGCAAAGCGCGCAGTGTGAGCGGCTGTAATCAGAAACATGCCGGATCCGTCCTGTGCGCTCCCACTCCACTAGTGTTGGCACGACGTCAGCTCTGTGTGCGGCAGTGCAGCAGGAGGAGCTCGGACTGGATGGGCGCCCTCTCATCCTCTATCTCTGCCTTTCTCTTTCAGTAAATGGATCTGTTGAAGCCCTGCCCTGCCTGACATGGATGCCCCGCCGCCACCCCCACTGTCATCTTCCTCAGCTCAGTCCGAGGGCTGCTTCTGCTTGGCGCAGTGAGCTGGACACGCACTGATCTTTTCTTCGTCTTCTTCTTGTTGTTCTTCTTCTGCCAAATGGATGTGAGGAAGCTGTTGTTCAGCCCGGTGAATATCATGCCGTGATCGAGCTCCAGTCCGAATAAATGTTAAAGGCGTGACAGAGACAAAGTCTGGGGGAATTGACCGGTTCGGGGATTAACAATCCTGTGCAGCACTCAAGCACAATGAAGATGACCTCCTTCCTGATGCTGAAGGCGCGACTGAGGCGCACCATGAGGCTGCTGCTGCTGCTGCTACACTGTGTGGGCTGCGCTCACGGGATGCCGCACGTCCTGAGATTCGGTGAGCTGCTTCTTATTTTTCCCGTGTGCCTCTGAAAGTTTCACTGTGTGTTTCTGAGCTCAGCCGTGTAGCTCCCCCCCAGCTCTGGGAGAGACTTTTCTCCTTCTCCCACTTGTGGAAACTATTTGGTCAGACATGGGAGCGCTGATTGAAGCGTTACAGCATTTTAATTGGAGGGTTGTGCAGCCAGAAAGTTGGGGAAGACTCCCTGCAAACGGCCAAGGACCTGCAGATCTGCTCTAAGGCTGATCTAATCTGTTAGCAAAGCAATACATCCTGTAACTGGCTGACAAAACATATTTTTCGTTTTAATTTGATAAGTTTAAGCAACTAAAAACACAAAAAATGTGTCAGTGTGTTGTCAAAGTGAACTTTGAGTGTGAGTTAGGGGGGATTTTAGGTTCGCTGGAGCTGTGTGTGCTTCTTGGAATGTTGTGATGTTTGAGGAAAGACATCAATATGTCCAATATTTTAATTTTCAGTTACAGGTCAAAGGAAATCCACAATTTAACAATGTGTTGCACTGAAACAGAGGAATCAGTTCCGCATGAAACCCTTTTATGATTCTTATTCTGCATTAGGGAGTTCCTGCGTTTTGGAGCAAAAATCAAAGATGATTTTTTTGTTTCTTTTTTTGTATTCCACATCATATCAAGTGTTTGATATGATTTAGAATCCCTAATTTTACTTTTTAATTGTCAGTCTAATTATTTGAAAGCACCTAGGCTGGGAAATTAAAAAGCAACAAAAATTAGAAAGATTTATTGAAGGGGATCATCAATGAGAGATTTAATTATTAAAAATATCTAAAACTGACATGTTAATACATCCAAATGCATTCATGTTATTTCACAACTTTATGATTAAGTTTGGTCTACAAATGAATGCAAGTGTAAAGAAATTGCAATTAAATGTAACATTTGTTTGATCTCATTAAATGGATGGATGAGGGGTGCATTGACTTTTCCAATCGATGAAGCTGGAATCTACATTTTAATGAGAGAAATGTGATGGACAGACTGGAGAATCTCACTGTTTTCTCTTTACCCCGAACAGAGCCGACTGGATCTGTTTGTCCTTTCATGAGCAACCTGCTGTTGGTGAAGGTGCTTTATTATCGGAGAGCATTTTATGGTTCTATGTTTATTTTTTCTTTGTGGAATGTTACATTTATTGACACCTCCAGAAAAATATTAGGTTCAGAAACTTGAACGTTGGATAGGGATAATGGATAGGGAAGACAATTCCGGTCGTTTTGTTTTGTTTGTGGAAAAATAAATGTCCAAACGTTTCACTTTAACGCAGTTTGGTAGAAGACCAATAGATTCCTAATAGATAAAGACAAAAAAAAAATCAGCAGCACAGATACGTAAGCTCCTGAGATTCTCTGATAATTACAGTCAGATGTTTTCTGACAGATGCGATTCGGCATCTGAACGGGTTTTAGCAGCTCCGTTTCCTGTTTGAAAGCTTCTGCTAGTTGTTGTTGTCTGACCATATCACCTGATGACATCATCACACGCTGCAGAATTCCTTCGGGTTATGTACTTCAGACGAGACGGAGACGTCAGCTGAGAATACATGACTGACTCACTTTGTCAGGTGTGAACAGAAATACTGGCTGAGGTTAACGGCTGGAGGAGAGCGACTCATTCTGTCATTTATTCTGATTTCATGTTTTATATGATTCCTTATCATGACTTTCAGATTCAGTTCCTACTTTCTCTTTGACCTTAGGGATTGTGGGTCCTGAAATGCATCATATAGACCGTTCAAAGTGCAATAATCTGTGTAACGGGATGATATTTAATTGTCTAAAAAGATTAATGGTATGCAAAAGTTGGAGCTGATGTCTCAGTGCAATCATCAACAGTTTGAATTCTCACCAGTTCTTTAGAAAGTTATGATAATTTGCCCAAATTTCTGTTGATAGTAACGAAAAAGTACAATATGTCATGGAGCTCTGCTGTGTCTGTTGAAGGTGAAGCTTCAGCTCTTCATAGTTACAGGTTTGACCAATAGAATAACAGTCGGAGATTATGATGTCACTTTTCTGGGATCCTGGTGGTTTTCTGTTCCTTACCCATACAAACATGTCATCTTACTGTGAGCTCAAGTTGTTAGTAAGGTATTCATAACTAATAGACTTACGTAGATTTCATTTCAGTTAAAGGATTTTCCTCCTTTATTGTTGCAGTAATTTGACTAAATAATGACTTTCAGATTCTCAGTTAAATTGAAACACAGATTTTAGAAGCTGCTGTATTCAGTGTCACTCCCATTGGTTTGTTTTTCATTTTCATCCTGATATTTTTATTAGTGATGTAGATTAAAAGTCGTTTTATTTAATAAAATTATCCTGCTTTGACCAGAGTAAAAAAGACTAACTTCTAAAAAAAGTAAAATCTGCAATATTGCTTCAACAAGATTTTGTAGGTTTCTGCTCTACCGCTGCCAACTGTGTACATTTAGACCTGATAACTGTGAAGCTATTCTTTATTTATGAGGTTATATATTCTTGGGCAGAAACTCGTTCTAAAAGCCTCTGGGCTTTGCAGGTTTTACCCTAACTTTTCTCTTATCAAATTGCCGTTATTCTTCTCCCTGAATTTCACTTTTTATAAATATTTTTCTGTAACTAAGTAGCTTAGACGTACTTAACATTGGAAGAGTAATCAAGTGAAAAGTAAAAACCAAATGGTGTCCCTGCTTTAATCCAGTACCTTTTGGTTAAAGCATGCGTCGCTGCAGCAGTTATAAGAAAGGAAGAACAGGATAGGAGAGTTTGGCATCAGGGCTCTTTATCCGTTTTTATCCGAGATATTGATTTAGTAAGAAAATCAATCAAACATAAATGTTGCCATTTTCCTGGAAATATTACAACTAAAAGTTGTATTGTGTTTAGATTTTCATAGTCGGTTTTGGAGCAGAGTTTAGGCAGTTCAGATCTCCTTCTTATCCGCTGAGCAGAGAATGAGGACGTTGAATCAGAGCAAGATTCCCATGATGCGGCTGAAGAATAACGCTTGCGTGCTGACAGCCTTTGATAGCAGAAATCACTTGAGGGACTTTTCACATGGCCCACTGGAGATAAAGGTTGATACACATCAGCTGTAGGGAGTGATAGGATTTACCACAGAGAAACACGGCCTCCCAGGTCTGTGACTGCACTGCAGCCTGCCTGCCTTGGAAATCTCTCCTGCAATTTACTTAAAGAAATATATTTTAATCCTTTATAGGGCAAGTTACCATATCTGATCGCTTGTTTACCCCTTACAAATGTCCACCATCATCCCTCAGGGAGGTCTAGAAGCACTAGATCTATATCCAGCCATCCAGCAAAGATCCTGCTACATGGATGTACATCTGATTTTGGCATTTGACCAATTAGTTGAGCCCTTGAATGATATATTACCTACTATAAATAAAGTTGAAAAATAAGTTAACAAGTCAAGAAAAAAAAGGTAAGAAGTAAAGTTAAAAAGTCGATTAGCCTAGTTAACAATTATATTTAGGTGTAAGTGCCAGTAGCAGCATTAATGCCTCTAAGGTTATGTTGGACCAATAAAAATGTATTTCTTTCACTCTCAAAGGGTTTTTCATTAATTTCTTATAGAAACACTTTTGTTATTTTTCTTAATTTATCAAGTTGGCGTTTCTTGTTATAACATAACATTCATTTTGCCATCAAAATATCCATATTTTTTGAATGTTACAAAGGTAATAAGATCTTGTCCTGGACTCCAATAACACTATTGGCTTGAAATGTTAAATTCTCCAAGTATTTCACTGAGTGCCCTATGAAGCGTCAAATGATGAAAATCCTTTAGAATTATTGAATGGAAAAATACTGAATGCAATCTAGCTCTGTATAAGTAACTATGCCAGAGAACGGATGGACTTTATGTCTGGGATATGCTGAGTGGAGGTCAGACCAGAAAACTCGGTGCAGGCTGTCATATTTGTGTTCTCATGAAGGTCACTGTCAAATAGAGCAGACAAGTGAAATGTTACATCTTGAAGCTGGAAGAAATTCTTTCTTTAGAGAGAATTCACTTCCTGAGCAGCAACAGCCTGCCTGCCTGCCTGTCAATAACTGAACCGATCGTCTGGCATTATCCTCCAGCCTCTGGGACGCGCCTCAGACATGACTAGTAAATAAGCAACACTTTTGCAGAAACTGTGGGCAGGAGAAAAATATGCATCTGTGGTCTGAGAAAATCAGCTCTGAAATGGGTGGGGTGGGGGGGTCGGTGTCATTGCCGCCTTTTTCAATGGATCAACTAATTATAAGAAGCAGAATTATCAAAAGGACAAATGCATGGTGGCTGAGAATGACCAAGGTTTAGAGTATAAATGCATCTTTGAATGTAGAGACTCACAGAAACCTTTAACGGTTGGGTGGGGGTTTTTGAGGACCCAAATGCAGACATCAGGAGGCAGAGGTGAGTCTTGCAGATTTAAAAAGCAACTGAGGCAAAAATCCAAAGAACCAAAAAACTAGAAAACATCAGGGGAAAAGACACGTAGGGAGCCAGAGATTAGGAAGTAGTAAAAAAACAACAAGGAACCCGCACTGAGTGACTGCAGAGGTGGAGTATATAAGGGGAACACAACAAAGGGTGGGCTAATGAGCTGAATATGGAGCAGATGTGGGTGGAACTAACCAGAAGGCTGTTTCTCAATCTCTGTACTTGTGCGTTCTCGTGTCCTCGTGAAACATCATCAGCCTCAGCCCTAGTACTGTTCAAATTCACACAAGCAGCAGACCGAGAACGGATAAAGTCCCCGGATGTTGTTCTGGCCCCTCCCTCTTTACCCAGCATGCATCAGAGCAGACTGGTCCTTTCCTGAGACTGACAGCTGTCCCAGCATGCACTGCGGCAGCAGCAGCTTCCAGGTTAGCGCTGACAGAGCTCAGAGTATTAAGTTAAACACTCACTTTTCGGTTGCTGTTGTTCCATAAAAGTACGTTTTAAGATCATTTGAGGCGAGAACAT